TGGTTTCTATGGAAACGTTGTTGTTCTCACCTACTCATGTGATTTAAAAAAAAATGTTTTTATTGATTTCAGAGAGGAAGGGAGAGGGAGAGATAGAAACATCAATAGCGAGAGACTCCATTGGCTGCCTCCTGCACGCCCCACACTGACTCAGCGCTCAGAATTCTCCCAAAGCCTTTTCCCCTCGCTCCCAAACCACCCACCCAGGACCATAAGATGCCGCAGCCTTTAGTTTGGGGCCCCTCGCAGCGAGCTGACCCTCATGGCGCTCAGATGGCCCTGACCCTCGACTACATCAGGCGTGCACTCCGACTGGGAATCAAACCGTGACCTCCTGGCCTATAGGTTGAGGCTCAACCACAGAGCTTCGTCAGCTAGGCCTACTCATGTGATCTCTAACAAAAATATTTTTATTACTATTTGTAATATTTTAAACAATAAAATAAAAATATTTTTATTATTTATTTTATTATTTTATTGATTTCAGAGAGGAAAGGAAAGATAGAAACACCAATGATGAGAGAGAATCATTGTTTGGCTGCCTCCTGCAATGCCCCCCAATGGGGATTGAACCCACAACCTGGGCATGTGCCCTGACCCAGAATTGAATCCGTGACCTCCTGGTTCATAAGTCAATGCTCAACCACTGAGCCACACTGGCTGGGCTACTCATGATTTTAATCTTCTCCCAACCCAACCTCCTTCCTCCCCACTTATTTGCCCCCCTCACTGCCTTTAGGAACCCCTAATCCACCCCCACGAGGACTTCCAACGCCCTTGACACCACCTTTCATCACCCCTTCAACCCACCTGCCCACATCCTCACTCCCTCCTTACCTGGCTAAGACTTCCTGGTCCATCATTAGTCACTTCCTTGCTTAAGTCCTTGTCCCTCTGTCTTCATTTCTGCTCGCAAACTGGCCAGGTCCCTTCTGAACCCACCCGTTTATTGGAGTAAATTATTAAATGGAAGCAAAGCTGCCAATCTGTGCTACTGACAGTTGGTTTTCCAGCTTCTCCTGTGACCAAGTTCATTGGCACATTACCTACCTTTGAAGTTATCAGGCACGTTGTAGGATTTTGTTCTTCAGTGGGATTCCATTCCTATCAGCTGGGATACCTATACCAGGGGGGTTATGCTGTGGTAACAAGCCCCCGGAGTCTGTGCCTAAATGAAGAGTTTCCTCCCTCGTAACACAGTGCCTTCATTATTTTGTGGGGGGTTGAGGGAGAGGGGCCTCGGTTAGTTTTAGTCACTTGGGGTGGGCACAGAGCAGCACCGTCTTGAATGCCACTGGCTGTGAAGCTAGAGGGGAAAGTGGGCTCCGGAAGGTCTCAAGCAGACCACTTCCAGTCGCTAGTCAGCCAGCACTAGTCAGATCGACCTGCTCAACCACAGGGAGCCAGGAAGTGCAGTCCTACTGTGTGTCTGAAAGGTGGGACTCTGATTCCTGCTGAACTTGAGTGATGACCACAAGAGGTAGATTGCTAGCCAGCCTCATTCTACATCTGGAGAGGCACATGGAATTTACAAAATTTGCCTGAAAACATATGCCTAGTAAGTCATATTCTTGAACCCATGCTCAAGAATACGTGCTTTAAAAAAAATTTAGGTATAATTAACACACACTATATTAGTTTCAGGTACGCATCATGATTTGGTTTTCAGAATACTTGCTGTTCACCACTACTCAACACCGCTTCTGAAGCTGTCAGCAATTATAGTGTTTTTTGTTCTTGTCATATAACTTAATTGTATTGTAATGTGCTTAATGTGGTCTAATTTTTAAACATTTATTGAGACGCTATGGTCTTGCACCTAATCAGTTTTTTTTTTCTGATCAGTTTTTGTAAATGTCCCACATGTGCTTGAGAGAATGAGTATGTTCTCTCTTGTTGCTGGATGCAGAATGCACCATGATGTCCCTTAGCTCAAGCTTGTAACTGTGGCGTTCCCTTTTGTTTTGCTGGTTGTTTGCTTTAACTGTCAGGAATTGAGAGAGATGCTGAGCTCTCCCGCTGTGACGGCAGTTTCTAAGGCTTAGAATACATACTGTAGGTAAATCTATACACAGAAAGCAGAGAGTGATTCCAGGGAGCTTAAAGCTGGGAGGGATGCGGCATTGTGAGATGAAAAAAAAAAAGTGTACGCTGTATACGAAAATTCTAGAAAAGAGCAATTGAATCCAGTGACAGAAAGCAGATCAGCGGTTGCCAGGGAACGGGAGTAGGCAGGAAGTGACTAGGATGGAGGCCAAGGGGACTTTTTTTTTTAATGTTTTTATTGATTTCAGAGAGGAAGGGAAAGGGATAGAAACACCAATGATGAGAATCATTGATCGGCTGCCTCCTGCACACCCCCTACTGGGATTGAGCTCACAACCCGGGCATGTACCCTGACAGGGAATTGAACTGTGACCTCCTGGTTCCTGGGTCGACACTCAACCACTGAGCAACACTGGCCAGGCAAGAGGACTTTTTGTAGTGATTGAAGTATTCTGGAGTGATGGTTACATAGGTGCATAAATTTATCAAACGTATTTATTTAAGTGTTATTGTACTTAAGCCATACATCTTTAATAAAGTTGAATATTAAAAATAAACAAGTCCCACATGGCCGAACCAGCCACTTCTTGGGACATGGGTCGATGCTCAACCACTGCCATGGAGCCACCCTGGCCAGGCAATAAAAATATATTTTAAATTTTATTTATTTATGTATTTATTTATTTTTTAGAGAGGGATAGAGAGATAGAAATATTGATGAGAAACATCATTGATCGGCTGCCTCTGGCAGGCCCCCTATTGGGGACTGAGCCCACATTCTGGGCATGTACCATAACCAGGAATCAAACCAGTGATCTCTTGGTTCATGGGTCGATGCTAAACTACTCAGCCAGCTGGGCAAAACATACTTAAAAAATTAAAAAATAAACAGGTCCCAAACCAAAGGTTAACAAAAATCAATAATAGTTACAAATACAACAAAATGATTTTTTGAAGTATTAAAAGAATTGTCCTGAGCAGGTGTTCTAGCGAATGTGGAAACACAGGCTATCACACACACCCCTACATAATATGTACTGACTTAACCTTTTTCCAGGATTAGGGCCTTGAATTTTCTGAAAGGCATGTTAGATATGATAAAAATGATTTTTGCGAAGATATCAGGGTAACTGACTCCAAACTCTTGGAGAGGAAAAGGAGTAAATGGGCTCTTCACCCCCAAAGAACACGCCTTTCGTGGCTCTGCTAATCTGTTACTATTTCCAGGACGTGGTTTCTGTTTAGAGTCCTGACTGGAAATACGCACTTACTCATCCAAAGGCCCAGTCACCTGCACTTCGGGGTGTGCTGTGACCCTCTGAGCAAAACTTTAAGTACCAACTTTAAAATATATATATATATTTTATTGATTTTTTTACAGAGAGGAAGGGAGAGGGATAGAGAATTAGAAACACTGAGAGAGAAACATCGATCAGCTGTCTCCTGCACACTCCCTACTGGGGATGTGCCCGCAACCAAGGTACATGCCCTTGGCCGAAATCGAACCTGGGACCCTTGAGTCCGCAGGCCGACGCTCTATCCCAGCCCTGGGCAAACTACGGCCCGCGGGCCCGATCCAGCCCGTTTGAAATGAATAAAACTAAAAAAAAAAAAAAAAAAAAAAGACCGTACCCTTTTATGTAATGATGTTTACTTTGAATTTATATTAGTTCACATAAACACTCCATCCATGCTTTTGTTCCGGCCCTCCGGTCCAGTTTAAGAACCCATTGTGGCCCTCGAGTCAAAAAGTTTGCCCACCCCTGCTCTATCCACTGAGCCAAACTGGTTAGGGCAAGAAGTAACAACTTTTATGTAAAGGAGAAGAAAAGGACCAGCCAGGTTTTCTAAATTTATTTTTTTGGGGAAAAAAACAACCCAAAACCCCCAACAAAACAAAACTTTATAAAGACACTCAAAATCCAGAAATACGAATTTATAAAATGTTTAGCACAGGAGGTAATTAAGACTTTAGATGCTGAAACGTGAACAATGTTTGCTCAATATACAATACATTCAACTGAGGAACATGCAAACATAAGAGACATCTTGTTTTCAAAATTTACTGGGTCTGGCATGGCCAGTGTGGCTCAATGGTTGAGTATCGACCTATGCACCAGGTCACAGTTCAATTCCAGGTCAAGGTACATGCCCGGGTTGCAGACTCGATCCCCAGTGGGGGTGGGGGAGGTGCAGGAGGCAGCCAAATGATGTTGTCTCTCTCTCACTGATGTTTCTCTATCAGTGAAAACATATTTTTTTTAAAAAAAAAACTTACTTGGTCTGTGTATAGAATACAATACAATCCCTTTCCCCCTATCTGAACATTTATTTTATAGCCTTGAACTGCTTTTGCTCTTCATAGTTTATTTCCAATCGCTTCTATACTTCTACACCTCAAATCTATTATTTCCACACCAAATTCACCATTTTCTCCCTTAGTCTCCATTTTCATCCTAGTTCAGGTTTACTGGATTTTTCTTTTTAAACAGGCAGGTTATGTACTTCACATGGCCTCTCCTGTGGAGCACGTCTAGGCGTGAAGGAACGATGTGAACACACTCACTTCTGAGTGGGGCAGCATGGCCTCCAGTCAAGGAAAAGCAGCACTTTTCACGTTTTATTAATTTATCAGGTTTGCATCCCTGAGGAACATTGGCGCTTCCTAATGTTGTGGAGAGGAAGGTGGTGACCATCTTTGTTACTTCTGTCTGAGATGGGCGGACTGGAGAGGTAACACTTCTCTACAATGAATTCACTCAGCACACACTTATTTATTTATTTATCGCCCGCCTTCTCTGTGCCAAGCACGGGGATGCAGAGGTGACAGTCTGCACACAGTCCTTGCCTCGGTGTGTACATTGTGCTGTAGCCGACTTCAGTTGGACCCGACATTGAACCAGAATGGAAATGTGGGAGCACAATATGTAAAATAAAGAATTCATACAAAGATGCACATAGTAAACAACTTAGTGAATTTATTTGGAAAGTAGGAAATAAGCATGATTTTAACATTTAGAACATGAACAAAACTAGAAAAAGTCCAGCTACAGAAAAGAAGGCAGAATGCTGAAGTTGGCTTCATGGCCATAGAGTGCAAACCAGCCAAATCCTACAGTGCAAACAGCCAAACCCAAGGTTCTCTCATGCAAATAAGCATTAAGGAAGAGGAGGAGAATGTTTCCAGAACAGGCCACAACAAACAGTCTAAAAATTTACATAAGAAACTGTACATAAATGAAAAAATAAATTAGACAATTTACAAAAAATGTCTTATAGGTTACAATAGGCTATAACTTAGTTTGTTATGAATAAAATTTGTAGCACATCATACATTTTTACATCAGATTCAGTGTTAGGATTCCAACATGACAAAGCTTAGACAAGGACAACTTGACAAGAACAACTTGAGAGAATAAGGCAACTTAAACTGAAATGGCTTGTAGAAGTAAAGTTAACACACACAAACATCTGTTTATGATTTGGTCAGTAACTGGGCAGAATTAAGACAAATGCCATTGAACTTCAGTAAAAAGTCAAAAAAGTGAAAACACACAATGTATAAAAAATGATAAAACCATCTTAACATGACTTACATCTAATTCCATTCATTATATTTGGACAAGGAGACTGCAGAGTTACCTGCTGTTTCTAAATGTTGTAAACTAAAAAGGGCACCTCGTAAAAAAACCGGCAGATTTCAAAATGGCTTCACACCTGCGACAACTGCTGACTGCAGGCACAGCAGCCATGATGCAGAGGGGGGCGAGGCTCAAGTGACCTCAAACCATCTGCATTATCTACTCATACTTTACAAATGATGTTAAGCAGATGTGCCCTTTGATAGCTACTGGAACTGTAAGCACTGCAACGTGTGAAAGATGTTAAGAAATAGCAAAAAAAGAAAAACAGCACTATTTTAGAATTAAAATTTAGTTGCATATTTATATAATTCAAAATCTTGATTTTGACCTTCATTTATGCCTTTGAAAAATACATTCCTCATTAGTTCTTTTAAACACAAAATTAGTGGCAGCTGTGGCAAGCAGACTGAAAATGTTTAAGAAAAATAATCTTTGATTATAGTAAGGGCCAGAATGTAAATAAAGTTATAATAATGCACATATAATTTTGAAGTTAACACAACAAAAATTCCAGATATGTTTACACACTTTAATATATGTATGTATCCCTTCATATTAGTTTAAGGTACATCTACTTGCTCATTATAGGCAGTAACATAACATGATAAATAACTAATACCATCCTATTGGTTGGGTGAGAATTCAAGTCCAGTACCTATCAACATATACACATAAAATACATCCCAAGACATGAGGCCAGCATCTGAACCGACTGGGTCAGTCACTGCAGACGCTGCCACATGAGGCAAGTACCTGCCTTTCCCAGGAACTTGATGGTAACTGATGATCCCACTGTGACAAATCAATGTCCTTGTTTTACAAATAAAGAAAACATTTAAAGAAGTTAGGCCAGTGACCGGTGCTATTTCTAATACAAAACCAAATTATGACCCCACGTCCGCTGACCACACAAGACTGACAACCCCAACAACAGGGACTGCTGAAGACATCGGAACTTTTTGAAAGTGGAAATTACTCAAAAGCTGTGATGAGTTACTTTTCACAACAGTTTTTAAAATATAGGCTATTAAAACACTTTAAAGGAAGAAAATTCTTTCTTGGGTCTGCCAGTTACCAGGCTCAGTACTGAAAACAGGTAGTGGTAGTACAAAGCATACCATTTTGTGAGATTATCTGATGAAAAAACAAAGTTGGCTGAATTCCTCCGGTGTGAGAATAAAACACAGTAAGATAAACCAACTTACTGGGAAATAGGACATCATTGACATTTCATGGCAAATCATCTTAAACAGGTCAAAGAGTATTATTACAAAAGGCAACATGTTTCTAGTATTTTGCTTATACTAGTACATACCACAACACAGTAAGTTAAATGAAAAATAATGCACATTCTTTTTTTCTGGTGATTATTCTTTCAGTCTTTTTCTGAACTACATTCTCAAATGCAATAGATTAAAAAGCATTAAGTGCTCAACCAGAAAAAAATAATACACAAAAAATATGAAAAATTTTCTATATAATACAGACTGGTTACAAAGGACATTTAGAAGCTATTGCTTTGCTAAGCTTTCCACCCAAGAATGCAGCCTTAAAAATCAAGGCGAGCCTGGCTGGTGTAGCTCAGTGATTGAGCATCGACCTATGACCCAGGAGGTCACAGCTCAATTCCCGGCAGGCACATGCCTGGGTTGCAGGCTCAATCCCCAGTAGGGGGCGTGCAGGAGACAGCCCATCAATGATTCTCTCTTATCACTGATGTTTCTATCTCTCCCTCTCTGAAATCAATAAAAACATTAAAAAAAAAAAAAGAAAAAAGAAATCAAGGTGAGACTAAGAGTGATGAGCTACTCTTAGAAGGCAAAAGTACCGCTGAACACAGAGGAAAAACTTCCCTCTGAGCCGCATCCTTTCGCTTACAGAAATGAAACTTTCAGAAACCAGAACTTATAACACAGCAATCACATTTGCACACAAAGGCAAAAAACTCAGGAACCCCTGCAGTCTAATATTTGGCAAATATTCTGAACTTCCTAAAGGCCTGTCAATTACCATGTGTATTATTGGCAATAGCATTGACTTTTCCTTCACTAAGAGTCCACGTATTTAAATAAAGTAGCTGAACAAGGAACTGCCAGGCAAGTCCACCAATACTTTGTCCTGGGGAAGTTGGGGTATGGAACTGAAAGCCACTAGTTCTAAAACTCTCTAATTAAAAGGCAATCTTTTTTGGGGTCGTAGGTTTTCAAAATATCTACTGAATGACATGAATCCAAAGATCTAAATATTCTAAATTCTAAAAAATTATGTTGACATACTTTCTCTACATATTCACCAGTTCTCATATTAATGTCTTTAAATAAAAGAAAACCGAATTATAAGTATTTGAGCACAGATTCTGAAAATTCTAAGCACCTCTTGATAGTCTAGTGAAAACTGTTCTCCATGGAGCAAAACTGTGTTGTGTGGAAACACCGCAATACTTCTCCGTAATGGAAACAGCTGTACGTTCTTCAAAGCACATCAGACTTACTGGTAACTTTAGGAGGTGACTAGCTTCCCAAGCCTCAATACTTCATAAAAGCCATGAGCAATAGTCTCTAACGACGTCGCTGAGCTCTAAAATGTTACTGCCAAAGTAAAAATCTGAAAAGGTTTATAACATTATAAAAAATGATTCAAAATAGAGAACAAATTCTAAGGCAAAGGGATTTACAGTAAATTTAGGAATTATAATTCTTTTATTACCAGGATGTACAAAACACTGATCCTTTTTATAATTCTGCAGTACGGCCTCTGAATTCCAGTTTCAAAAGAACTCTGACTTCTATAACATCAATTTAGAGTAAATGTGATTTTGTTGCTGTCCATAATAGAATTAAGTCTTTAGCTTTGATGGTTCAGACCTAATTAGACAGAAAGGACTGAGTCTGGCCCTGAGATAAATGTGGCACAGAAAGAACTCTTCAATGCATGCAAACCATACTTCATTAGAAGAGTCTTTGGGAACTCATCATAGCACTTCCAAATAATTAAGCTTCCAATTACAAAATATTAACCACTGTAAATGTACTGATTAACAATGAAATCGAGAAAGTGCAATGTCGCCAAATATCTGCATTTTCTAGATTCATTTAAAATTCAGGCTAATATTTCAATTAAATTATGGCATTTGAAAAAGGTACTCCTTTTAAAAAGGTTATACTTCTGGGCAAAGATCACATAAACATGCTTTTTGGGGGGGGATATGTTAGGAAAACAACAATGAATAATTAGTATTGCCTTGACACTTCTAAAATCACATAAAATTATCATCTTTGATTGCCATTTCAATTAATTTTGATACAGGGTATGTTACGGTCTGCTTACTAATACCCAAAACATAGAACAGACTTGTAACAAATATTCAGAATTAATTATTTTTATGAGATAAACATTTCTGAGCCTTTTAAGATTTGTTTGAGCATACAGTACTGCAATGTTGGCTACATAAAATAAATAGAAAATCTTTTTGAGAGAAAGCTCAATAATCAGAGGCTGTACTGCATTTAAGGATTTAACACTGGCTATATACAAAAGGGAAAGCATCTCAATTAGAAATACTTCACCTGCTACCGAGTTCTTGCTGTTACTATGGCAACATTTAGCAGCTTACCATTTTGACATTTAAAAAGCAACAGGAATAGTGCTACTCTTTTATCCTTCGTTTCCAGTGACAAATAATGCAGCAATTATGCCTGTGGTTTTCAGTTCCTCTTGGATGACATTTATTATCAGAGATAAACCTGATGCTTTTAGCTGAAATTTGGCAGCCCAAGAAGTGCACCAACTGCTCCAAAGTATCCCTGTATAATTTAAAACAATTATTAATGTAGTGCAGCTCTTAAATTATCATACAGTACGAACCACTATTAAGAACACATTTATATTATAACAACATCTATTCAGAAATCTACCAATTTGTTTTGTCAGCTATTATAAAAAATTTTAAAATGTATTCTCAATATATACACCTTTTAAATACCTACTTTTAAAGTGTGGTTTAAAAGAAATTAAATGTCTTTTTATTGATTTCAGAGAGAGGAAGAGAAAAGGAGAGAGAAACAGCAATCATGAGACAGAAACATTGATCGGCTGCCTCCTGCACGCCCCCTACTGGGGATCAAGCTGGCAAATCGGGCATGTGCCCTGACCAGGAATCAAACAGTAACCTGGTCCAAGGGTTGACGCTCAACCACTGAGCCACACCGGCAAAGCAAAGTGTGGCTTTTAGACACTAAAATTTCTAGGGCTATTATTGCAATTCTGTGCCCCCTCCCCCGCTTTCCTCAATTAACTTCCCTTGGCTAAGCCTGCCACTTTCAGTGACTCCATCCCGCATGCAGCAACTTGGCGTTTCTCATTCTGATCTCTACAGTGAGCAGTGACAATGAAATATGCATGCTTTTAAGGAAATGCTCTGAACCTGTGTTATTAAAACTTTTGTAGCCAGTTGACTGACCAGAAACAAAATAATTTGAGGTAAATTTACTTAATCTGAAACATTATGTAAACTGATATTTGCTTAGATCAAAATTTAACTGGCTGTAGTGAATATGAAAAAAAAAAAAAGAATAATAAACTCCAAAATGTTAACAGTGGTTATCTCTGGCAGTGAGGGTGAGGTTGTGGTGGGAAGATTCATTTTCATTGCTAAATTATATAGTTTTGTATTGTTCACATTTAACATTTGTTACCTCAGGGGAGAAAATAAGATCCACTAAGTGTACAAGCCCAATATTTAAGGAGTTGATACTACTCTCTCAGAACTGTGAAGTCTCAACTTAATGCGGTGCCTGCCAGGTTACAGTAACCCTGATCCCCCAATTCAAACTGAAGTGAGGAATCAATATACAATTTAGGTAAATTGTAGTTTGTACTTTACACAAGAAGCCTGCATATAAAAGCATGCTATTAAAATTCACAAACATTATTTTGCTGTCATACCTCATGCTCTAGAAACAATGCTTTCAGTTGTCCTTTTGACCAGTAATCCAGTGCATATGCCAAAAGTTTCATCGAGAGAGTATTGACTCGTAAAAAGTTTCCAACAAAGACAACTCTGTTTATTTTCTAAAGGAAAAGAACAAATAAAATGACTTTAAGAAAGAATTATAAATAGGTTTCACAATACAAGAGGGTTTACAAAATCTCTACTTAAAAATGTAAATAACTACCACTTGCTAGTGCCTGCTACATTCCTGGCATATACCTCCATAATCCTGTATATTTAAAAACATGACTTTTGGACATTACTACACACCATGGAATGTACAGCCAGAGTGAACCCAAGTGTAAACTATGGACTTTGGATGGTGATGTGTGTCAGTGTAGGTTATGGGTGGTAATGAGTGAGTCAGTGAGCTGCTGGATGGAAACTGGGGAGGTTGGCAGGCATGGGGTCAGGGGTATATGAGGACTCTCTGTACTTTCCACTCATTTTTGCTGTGAACCTAAAACTGCTCTAAAAAATAAAGTCTATTTTAAAAAAGAAAAGTTCTGGAAAAGATGCTACTTAAATGATTATAGATGAGACCTGTTTGCGAAAATGGCCAAGAAAGAATTCATTTAATATAGCAATCTGGAGAGGTGCTATTGTTGAGATTAAAGGAGATCAACCAAAGAAGAGTTAAATGTGTTTAGGATTGCCCTAACCGGTTTGGCTCAGGGGATAGAGTGTCGGCCTGCGGACTCAAGGGTCCCAGGTTTGATTCTAGTCAAGGGCATGTATCTTGGTTGCGGGCACATACCTAGTAGGGAGTGTGCAGGAGGCAGCTGATCAATGTTTCTCTCTCATCCATGTTTCTAACTCTCTATCCCTCTCCCTTCCTCTCTGTAAAAAAAAATCAATAAAATATGTTAAAAAATGTGTTTAGGATTAAAAACAGCTGTAAACTTGGCCAGTATGTTGCAATGTATGCTCAACAATGACACGCAACCTGTGGACTTTATACAGAGCTGGAGAGCAACACTGACTGGGTATGGCACGCACACCGACCACTAGGCTTCCCACCTAACCCATCACATCATTCTGCTAAGATCCCACTCACTAATTTGGCTCCTTAGGTGTCTCTACGGCTAGGAACCTTCGATGGAGGAACTGGTTTCTCCAGAATATGTACGTCCAGAACACCTATTTCTACTCTTACTAATAAATTGACCCTTTGAGTATACATGTTTGCACACTGGATTTGCCAGCGTGAACTCTGGCCAGAATTATTGTTAAGACAATTGGCCAGTGAAAATCTAGACATAGGGCTAAGAAAATAGGTCTCAAAAGTGGACCCCCAAAACTGAGGTTAAAATGCCTGCTAGTGATTCCCTCAACCAACTTAACTACACTATTATTAAAAACTAAAGAAATAAAATTCTGGATTTAAATAATAATTCAGAACATTAATTCGGGTTTTGGCACAGCTGTTCTCTCTGTTGGATCCTCTTTCCCCCCAAAATATCCACATGTATGATTCTTTTGCTTCCTTCAAATCTTTGTGCAAATGTCACATTTTCAATAAAGCCTCCTCCAACCACCCAATTACACAGCAATCTGTCCTCTGCCACGCTCTGGTCTATTCTCAAATTCTCTTTGTCCTGTTTGATTTTCTCATTTTGAAAAACAGCATTTGTTACCTAACACAAACTAAATACTTATTTACTACATCACTCGAATAGATGTAAGCTCCACCACGTCAGAGATCACTGTTTCCTTCACTAATGTATCCCAAGTGCCTAGAACAGTGATGGTGAACCTATGACACGCGTGTCAGAGGTGACACGTGAACTCATTTTTTTGGTTGATTTTTCTTTGTTAAATGGCATTTAAATATATAAAATAAATATCAAAAATATAAATTTTTGTTTTACTATGGTTGCAAATATCAAAAAATTTCTATATGTGACACGGCACCAGAGTTCAGTTAGGGTTTTTCAAAATGCTGACACGCCGAGCTCAAAAGGTTCGCCATCACTGGCCTAGAACGATGCCTAGCACATGGCGACCTGTACATATTTATCCAACGAATAAGTGAATGAATGAAGACTAATAAAGGGTTCCTTTACAAAGCCAAGTCTCCATTCAGTTAAAAGTACTTGACATTTACAAAAATTCAATGGACCCTGGCCGGTTTGGCTCAATGGTGGAGCATCATCAACACACCAAAAGGTTGCTGGTTTGATTCTGGGTCAGGGCACATGCCTGGGTTTCGGGCTCGATCCCCAGTAGGGGGCGTGTGGGAGGCAGCAGATGGCTGTTTCTATCTCTCTATTCCCCTCCCTTCCTTTCTCTCTGAAAATAAAAAAATCAATTAAAAAACATAAATTAAATGGACAAATATATCTACCACATGAAGAAAGAATTGTATATATAGTCTCCTTCAAATAAAAATAACCCAAATATGAGATAGGTCTAGCTAGCAGTACATGCTTTTCGTAAGTATACGAAGAATGAGTCTCAATGCCTTCATAGCCCTGTACAATGCTGCTTGATCCATATGCAACAAGGCAGCACTGTAAAGAAGCCGAGGGCAGTAAGAAAACTTCCAAGCACTTCACCAATCAAATGCAACAGTACCAGGAAAAAGACAACACAAAACACACTAAAACACACTGCCTTTTTCTCTTACATCTTTAAGAGATTTAGGTCATGTATGGCCATGTGCCGACTAACGACATTTTAGGATCACATATATGATGATGGTCCCAAAGGATTACAATGGAGCTGAAAACTTCTATTACCTAGTGATGTCATAGCCATCTCACAGCCATCCTGATGTTGTAGCACAACACATTACTCAAATGTTTGTGGTGATGCTGGTGTAAACAAACCTACGGCACTGCCAGTCATATAAAAGTACAGAACAATTCTGTACAGTATATACAATTTGGCAATGATAATAAATGTCTGTTACTGGCTTATATACTTACTAGAGGCCTGGTGCACAAAAATTGTGCACACTTGGGCGGGGGGGGGGAGTCCCTCAGCCTGGCCTGCACCCTCTCGCAATCCGGGTCCCCTCAGGGGATGTACAACTAACGGCATAGGCCCACTCCCCGGGGATCGGGTCTAACCTGGCAGTCAGACATCCCTCTGGCAGCCCAGGAGCCCTTGGGTGATGTCTGACTAACAGCTTAGGCCTGCTCCCCACAGGGAGTGTGCCTAAGCCATCAGTCGGACATCCTTAGCACTGCCGCGGAGACGGGAGAATCTCCCGCCACTGCCACGGAGCTTGCCAGACGTGAGCCCGGCTTTTGGCAGAGCGGTGCTCCCCCTGTGGAAGTGCATTGACCACCAGGGGGCAGCACCTGCATTGAGCGTCTGCCCCCTGGTGGTCAGTGTGCATCATAGCAACTGCTCATTCCACAGTTTGGTTGATTTGCATATTAGCATTTTATTAGATAGGATTATACTATATTATACTATAAACTTCTTACTGTAATTCTAGAGTGTTCTCTTTCTAAAAAGAAGACAGCTTGCTATAAAACAGTATGCCATTTTACACCAGCAGAAGCCGCAGCCTCATAGATCTATGGGTCTCTTGGTTGCACCATTTTTCTTGTGCTTGATTTAATCTCATGTTGTTTGGTACAAGTAATATGCTGTATAGGCTTGTAGCCTAGAGTAATAGCTCTGCCATCCAGCCTACGCGTGTGTAGGCTGTGCCATCTAGGTTTGTGATAAATGTGCTCTATTATGTTCACACAATAATGAAATCACCCAATAACGCATTTCTCAGAATGTACCTGTCATTAGGCAGCACGTGACTGTATTTCTGAGAAGGCAAAATGTAAATGTCTATTTGTGCTATTTCTGATTTGAATTACCTGCTACTTTCTTGAAAGGTCATGTAACAATTGGGTACATAATATACACACTTAATGAGTGTTGGGTGTTAACATACATCCATGAGTCTTGGGGTTTAACGGATTAGGTCTCTATCCTATAGGTCTCTGTAAGAAACATGAAGAAGCCCTGCTATATGTACATAAAACTCCAATTCACATTTTTCATATATTAAAATTTTCTTACCTCGTTATCAGCACACATTCGTGCCACAGAACCAATGTTATTGGTGATAGTAACTAAAGTAGCTCTTGCTAGATCTTCTTTACTAACAGATTCTCGCTTCTCCTTATAAATCATGTTGCCAAAACTGCAGAGAAATGAAAAAACAAAATCAAACCTGCTGATAAAAAGCAACATTTCATACATACAGAGAATTTATCCTACAGATAAATCTACACAAATACAGGGTTATTAATTGAACCACTAAACTGAACATACCAAAATAACAGAACCCAAACATCACCAAACAATGAAATAGCATGAAGCTGTTAATGAGAAAGAAGGGAAGGGAATAGAGGCAGGAGAGGGATGGGAGGGAGAGAAAGAAGGTAAAGGAGGCAGAGAAAGACTAGAGTGTGTGTGTGTATGTGTGTGTGTGTGTGTGTATGTGTGTGTGTGTGTATGTATATATATATATATATGCTGTTAGAGTATATATATTGCCCTAGCTGGTTTGGTTTAGTGGTTGAGCGTCAGCAGCCCACAGACTAAAGGGTCCTGGGTTTGATTCTGGTCAAGGGCATGTACCTCAGTTACAGGCTCGAGCCTTGCCCTGTGTCTCTCTCATATTGAAGTATCTCTCTCATGTTGATGTTTTTGTCTCTACCCCTCCCTTCCATTCTCTCTAAAAATCAATGAAAAAATATCCTCGGGTGAGGATTAACAACAACAAAAGTGTGGAATAACAAATCCATGTCTCTTTCTATCTCTCTCCCCCTTCCTCTCTCTCTATAAAAATAGTAAAATTAAAAAAAAAATCAATAAAAAAACGTTGAAAAGTATATATAGCAGCGGTTCTCAACCTGTGGGTCGCGACCCCTTTGGGGGTCGAACAACCCTTTCACAGGGGTCGCTTAAGACCATCGGAAAACACATATATAATTACATATTGTTTTTTGTGATTAATCACTATGCTTTAATTATGTTCAACTTGTAACAATGAAATTGGGTGTCACCACAACATGAGGAACTGTATTAAAGGGTCGCGGCATTAGGAAGGTTGAGAACTGCTGATATACAGTATGCTAGTCAATGGTATATAAATGTTACCTTCTAAGTAAGGGGAGGATAAGGATATGTATTTGTATTTGCAAAAGATTTAAAATGGAAATGCAACAGATTCAGCAATCCTACCTCTGGGTATTTATTTGAAGAAATCCAGAACACTAATTTGAAAAGACATAATCATGGAAAGAATACTCAAGGATTAATAAAAATGGTCTCCTATAGGGTGCACTCAGGAAGACATCTAAGATCTAATTCTCAAACTACATGAGCCTTCAAAACTTGGAATCAAACTGAGTAAGAAGAAGCCCCCTTACAACTTCCTGATATATTTAATGCTTTCTAAAACTAAATAAGCAACTTTATTTTTAAATTTTCAATTACAGTTGACATACAATATTGTATTAGTTTCAGGTGTACAACTTAGTGACTAAACATTTATATAATGGAGGAAATGATCACTCTGATAATTCTAGTACCCATCTGACACCCATACATAGTTATTACATTTTTATTGACTACTAGAGCCCTGATGCACGAAATTCATGAGGAGTAGGCCTTCCATCCCCCAGCTGCCAGCACCGGCTTCCCTCGCAGCCCCAGCTTCATCCGGAAGGTTGTCCGGTCTAATTAGCATATTATGCTTTTATTATTATAGATATTCCCTACACTGTACTTTACATTCCTGTGACTGTTTTTATATCGGGTAATTTATATATCTTTTTCTTCTTCTTTTTTTTTCTTCCTTGATGTCTGTAGCCAAACTTATCCCTGAGGCCCAGCAGAGGGGATCAGGGCCCATGCACCACAGTGTTTCTGTGGCAGCCTTCTGGGCCAGTGCCCGCCATGGGTGGGCAGGCACCGAATTTGATATGGCTGCAATTTATACATCTTAATCCAATCCTTTTTCACCCATCCCCACAATCCTCTTCCATCTGACAACCATCAATTTGTTCTCTGTAGCTGTAAGTTTATTTATTTGTTTTTTAGATTCCACATAAGTGAAATCATGTAATAGTTGTCTTTCTCTGTCTGACTTATGTCACTTAGCATAATACCCTCTAGGTCCACTCATGTTGTGGCAAATGGGAAGACTTCATTCGTTTTTATGGCTGAGTACTATTCCATTGTATCACAAGTTCTTTATCCAATTGTCTATCAATGAACACTTAGACTGTTTCCATAACTTGGCTACTGTTATTAACACTGCAATGAAAATATGGGTGAATATGTCTTTTCAAATTAATGTTTTGGATTTCTTCAGATAAATACCCGGAAGTAGGATTGCCGGAACTTGTGGCAGTTTTACTTTAAATCTTTCTGAGGAACCTCCACACTGTTTTCCATAGTGGCTGCCTCAATTTGCAACCCCACCAACAATGCCCCAGGGCTCCCTTTTCTCCACAACCTTGCCAACACTTATTTGCTGATTTGTTGGTGACAGCCATCCTGACAGGTGTGAGGTGGTATCTCATTATGGCTTAAATTTGCCTTTCCCTGACAATTAGTGATGTTGAGCATCTTTTCATATGTCTATTGGCCATTAGTATGTCCTCTTTGGAGAAATGTATGTTTAGGACCCCAGCCCATTTTGTAATTGGATTGTTTGGAGTTTTTTTTTTTTTTTTGGTGTTATATGAATTCCTTATATATGGATATAAATAAACAACTTTAATCACAACACAAGTATTAAACTTACCTAGATGCTACAGCCCAACCTGGCAGACCAAATCTTTCATAATCTCCTCCATAAATATCACGGACCAGCTTGTCAGCGTGGGTGCTGTCTCCTTTGGATGCCATTTCAAGAGCCTCTTCAAAACTTTCACAGCCAGTCAATAAACTGCATAAGCCCAGAAAGGTACCTCCTCCAAGGCTAAAGAAAATAAAGAAACTCTATGAGCTGCATTTACACACTGTATTCTTTCTCCAGACTAAAAGGGTGGAGCACTTATTTATTCAATAAACACATAGAAACAACATATTGCTAATGCTTAGTGCTGAAATATTAACATGAGGAAAGGTTAAAAATGCTTAGCAAAACCTAACTGGCCAGGTCGAAGAATAGAAGAAAAAAGATCACTTGGTGGAAACAACATGAGGACAGGAGGGTCTTTTATTTTATTATTTTTAAAACATTTTATTTTTATTGATTACAGAGAGGAAGGGAGAAGAAAAGGGAAAGATAGAAACATCAATGATGAGAATCATTGTTTGGCTGCCTCCTGCATGCCCCCCACTGGGGATCCAGCCAGCAACCCTGGCATGTGCCCTTGACCGGAATCGAACCCAGGACCCCTCAGTCCGCAGGCTGACGCTCTATCCACTGAGCCAAACCGGCTAGGGCAGGAGGGTCTTTTATATCTTCCAATAACTTCATCTGATCCTTTATACTTTTTACTGCTAACAATAAATGTTTTTATGTGCATGTGAAAGGATTAAGTGCTAAAAATGTGTACCATCTGAAGTGAAAGGAGAAAACTTCTGATTCTACATGATTTCCAGGAAATGATTTTGTGGAAGGCCTACTTACTTGGCCTGAGAAGGCTGAAAGCAGTTCAGTGCTACATTACCATTTACAGAACCCAGAAATAAACACAGCGAGGAGGTTTATGTCAGGCTGGGCATCATGTTAAGACAGAAGTTTACTTGGTTCTATTATTCTTTTGGATATGCTCATAAAATAAAATCATGTCTCTCTAATCCCTAAAATCAAAGCCCTTGCTCCCTCGTCTCACCTAAACTTCAAACAGGTTCTATCCTCGAATGACTGTTGGAATTTAGTGAACAGGCTGAATTTCTATCTTTTAGAATCGATTTAACACATTAAGTGCCCAGCCTGTTTTGTCTTCCGGATGGAAAGTATAGTGTCAGTCACTGGTGACTGATAGGGCGCTTAACGTGTTAAGTAGGTAATATAGTCGTCCCCTCTTATCTGTGGGGGACACGTTCCAAGACCTCCAGCAGATGCCTGAAACCGCAGATTGTAATGAACTCTATTTTTCCTATATGTACCCATAATAAACTTTAATTTATAAACTAAGCACAATAAGCGATTAACAGTAACTAATAATGCAATAAAACAATTCTAACAATACACTGTAATAACAGTTATGTGAATGTGGGCACTCGTGTCAGGGGACCCCGGGCTGACGTCCTCCTGTAGGCTCAGTGCTTCTGGGGCACCACGTCGCCATCAGTCAGAAAACAGGTTCTGCTCACCTTCCACCCGTGGGTTTAATGCCTTTCCCTCTAACTAAGCCCTTATCACACACGGTTGCTGTAATGTTGGCAGTTTGAGGTGTGGTAGCAGAACTAGCAGGCATTTTTCTCCTTCACAATTTTAGGCATAGAAAATTTGTTCCCCTCAACATACGATTTATTTTCTTTCTTTATTAAGTCAAGAACTTTCACTTAAAGAACTTTAAGGCTTCTCGTTGTCATTTCTGGATTTCCGGCATCACTGCTCTTGTGCTTTGGGACCATTATTATTGAATAAAATAATCACTTCCTATAAGTGCTGTAACTCCACCACAGCAGGTCTGATAACCGAGATGCTACTCTGTGACTAAGGGGCAGGGAGTGTACATACACAGTGTGGAGAGATCAGACAAAGGGTGGATCATGGGCAAGACAGTGTGGAGATTTTATCATGCTACTCAGAACAGTGTGCACTTTAAAACTCATACTCTGTTTAACTCTGTAAATTATCTAATAATAGACAAAGATGGTAATTGACCATGCCTTCGCTACGCCTCCCATTGGCTAATCAGCACGATATGCAAATTAGCCACCAACAAAGATGGCGGCTAATTTGCATATCGCAGGCAGGGCGGGACAGCGTGAGCCGCCATCCGGGCCCTGTGTGCAGCCCTGGGCAGCGGGGCTTAGGCAGCACAATTGCGCTGCTTAAGGCCCGCCCCCAGCTGGGACCCCATGGCGATTAGAGAGCAGGAAAGTGCCGCCCATAGGCAGCACCCAGCAGGGCGTGACCCCGGGTGTCCTGGCGATCCAGCAATCGGTGAGCAGGAAAGGGCGGCCTGCAGGCAGCTCCCATGTGCGCCTGCTCCTGGGTCGCCGCTGTGATCCCAGAGCAGGAAAGCATGGCCTGCAGGCAGCACCCCACCCTGGCCACAGCTCAAGGGAAAGTACAACATGCAGTGGAGGCCAGGAGCCTGAGAGATCAACAGAGATGGGTGCCTGCTCCAAGCCTCCAAGGTGTGGCTGGCGGCAGGCCCCAGCAGACACACACACGGGATGCCTGCTCCGAGCCTCTGCTGCCAGGCTGTGGCCGTCAGTAGGACATCCACTGAGGGCTCCCGGACTGAGGGGCAGGCTGGGCTGAGGGAATCCTACCCCCCCAGTGCACGAATTTCGTGCACCAGGCCTCTAGTGATTTAATATTTTCGAAATACGGTAACAGAAACTGCAGAAAGCAAAACCACAGATAAAAGGGAACTACGGTACATTCCTGTAATTCTTTGGCATAATTACAATGGAGGTAGATTTTTAACCACCACAAAAAGAAAATAATTTTATTAAACTTAAGTATTATTTAAATAGGAGTGCTACTTTAAAATATAAATGAGGCCCTAGCCCAGCCGTGGGCAAACTACGGCCCGAGGGCCGGATCAGCCCGTTTGAAATGAATAAAACTAAAAAAAAAAAAAAAAGATCGTACCCTTTTATGTAATGATGTTTACTTTGAATTTATATTAGTTCACACAAACACTCCATCCATGCTTTTGTTCCAGCCCTCCGGTCCAGTTTAAGAACCCATTGTGGCCCTCGAGTCAAAAAGTTTGCCCACCCCTGCCCTAGCCGGTTTGGCTCAGTGGATAGAGCGTTGGCTTGCAGACTGAAGAGTCCTGGGTTTGATTCCAGTCAAGGGCACATGCCTGGGTTGCAGGCTCGATCCCTGGTGTGGGGTGTGCAGGAGGCAGTCAATCAATGATTCTCTCTAATCATTGGTGTTTCTTTTTTTAAAAAATTAAATCTTTATTGTTCAGATTATTACAGTTGTTCCTCTTTTTTCCCCCCATAGCTCCCCTCCACCCGGTTCCCCTCCCACCCTCCGCACTCACCCCACCCCACTGTCCTCATTCATAGGTGCACGATTTTTGTCCAGTCTCTTCCCGCATCCCCCACACCCTTTCCACTCCCAAGAATAGTCAGTCCATTCCCTTTCTATGCCCCTGATTCTATTATAATCACCAGTTCATACTGTTCATCAGATTATTTATTCGCTTGATTTGTAGATTCACTTGTTGATAGATGTGTATTTGTTGTTCATAATTTGTATCTTTACCTTTTTCTTCTTCTTCCTCTTCTTAAAGGATACCTTTCAGCATTTCCTAATCTGTTTGGTGGTGATGAACTCCTTTAGCTCTTTATCTGACCTTCAATTCTGGATAGCTTTGCTGGATAAAGTAATCTTGGTTGTAGGTTCTTGGCATTCATCACTTTGACTATTTCTTGCCACTCCCTTCTGGCCTGCAAAGTTTCTGTTGAGAAATCAGCTGACAGTCGTATGGGTACTCCCTTGTAGGTAACTGACTGTCTTTCTCTTGCTGCTTTTAAGATTCTCTCTTTGTCTTTTGCTCTTGGCATTTTAATTATGGTGTGTCTTGGTGTGGTCCTCTTTGGATTCCTTTTGTTTGGGGTTCTCTGCGCTTCCTGGACTTGTAAGTCTATTTCTTTCACCAGGTGGGGGAAGTTTTCTGTCATTATTTCTTCAAATAGGTTTTCAATATCTTGCTCTCTCTCTCTTCTTCTGGCACCCCTATAATTCGGATGTTTGTACGCTTGAAGCTGTCCCAGAGGCTCCTTACACTATCTTCATAATTTTGGATTCTTTTTTTTTTAAAAATATTTTATTGATTTTTTACTGAGAGGAAAGGAGAGGGATAGAGAGTTAGAAACATCGATCAGCTGCCTCCTGCACACCCCCTACTGGGGATGTGCCCGCAACCAAGGTACATGCCTTTGACCGGAATCGAACCTGGGACCCTTCAGTCCGCAGGCCAACGCTCTATCCAGTGAGCCAAACCAGTTAGGGCTCTTTTTTCATTTTGCTTTTCCGGTTGGGTGTTTTTTTGCTTCTTCGTATTTCAAATCTTTGACTTGATTCTTGCGATCCTCTGGTCTGCTGTTGGGAGTCTGTATAATATTCTTTATTTCAGTCAGCGTATGCTTAATTTCTAGTTGGTCCTTTATCACAACCTCGAGGGCCTCACTAGATTTCTTGAGGGTCTCATTAAGTTTATTGGCGGTTTCTAGAAAATTCTTGAAAAACCTTAAAAGTGTGGTTTTGAACTCTATATCCAGTAGTTTGCTTTCCTCCATTTCTGTCCTGTTTTTTTTTTGTCTCGGCATTTTTTATGCTTCGCTGTGTCGATAGAGTGGCTTTCTGTGCTAAGTGTCCTATAGGGCCCAGTGGCTCAGCCTCCCCAATTACCTGAGGTAGACCCTCTTGGTGCACCCCCTTGTGGGCTTTGTGCACAGTCTTGTTGTAGTTAAGCCTTGATTGTTGTAGGTAACACTGGGAGGGATTGACCTCCAGGCCAATTGGCTGTGAGAATCAGCTGTTTCTGCAGTGGGAGAACTTCTGTGCTAGAGACACCCCTCCGGGACAAGACTTGCTTCAGTGGGGCTTTGGTGCTCACTGAGTCTGCCCCGAGTGTGTCCTTTATGGATCTGAGGAGCTGCAATCTGGATGGTCCCACTCTGACCACCGGGCGGGCGCACTGGCTCCTGGATCTCTAAGGAGGTGCTAATCTAGCCTCTGCCTGAGGCTACCCAGCAGAAGCCAGCTGTGAAGCAATGCAAGTTGCCGTGGGGCCTTGGGGCAGCTGCAGTTTGTTAAGTTATTTTCAGATTGCAAAGGGCCAGGCCTTTCACATGCAAAAGCCTCCGTGCATGGCTTGGGCGGGGCGGGGTCCCAGGGGATCAACAGGGCGGGCGGAGCGAGCAGTTATGGCTGCTCTCAGTCCTGCCCTCAGAGGTCCCGCTTCTCAGTGTCCCGGCAATCGCTGCGAGCACCTCCAAGAGAAAGCTGCCCTCAAGTTCCAACCGATGCCAGACAGTCCCGTTTCTCCCGTATGAGTATGGGTCCCCAGAGACTCGCCCAGAACTGGAGCTCAGAGCTTGAGACTCCCTCCCGATTGAAAAAGACAACCGTGTCCTCAGCCACCAGCCCTCTCCACATGCACCTCTGCACCTTTGTATTTTACTTCCGCACCGCACCTCCTCTGAGTCTCAGTGTGCTTTTCTCTTTCCTTCTAGTTGTAGAATTTCCACTCAGCCAGCCTTCCCGTGGTTCTGGATGATGTCCGATCTGTCTTTTAGTTGTATTTTTGAAGTGGTTGTGCGAGGCAGCAATTTCCTGTGTTTACCTATGCCGCCATCTTGGTTTCTCCCCTAATCATTGGTGTTTCTATCTCTCTCTCTCCCTTCCTCTCTGAATTCAATAAAAAATATATTTAAAAAAATTGAAATGAGCTTTCCACAAATCAATCTGAAATATCCCCAAATCGATCTAAATTAAATAAAGGAGTCTCCACCCTCCTTAAATGTCAATCAAGTATATATCAGAATGATAAGAAAAAATTTAAAATCTCATTTCACATTCATATTTCAGGTACTATAGAAAATTTGAAGGGATATTTGGAACATTAATATTATCCCATAAAGAGCGCATACTAATTCATCCTATAACATTACCCAATACTCTGCATGAAACCAGCAGATGGCAAGCTTTAGGCTTAAATACACCTATAAAAATGTAAAAAAAAAAGGCAAGAAAAATGCTTTGGAAAATAAAAAAGTCACTGGAACCATTCCAGACAAAAATTCAATTTATGTTTTTATTGAATTTAGAGAGAAAGGAAGTGAGAGGGAGAGAAAGAAACAGTGATATGAGAGAAACCTTAATGGGATGCCTTCCTTATGCACCCCGACCGGGAATGAACCCGCAACCTGGTATGTGCCTTGACCAGGAATTGAACCGGCAATCTTTTGGTACACAGGATGATGCTCAACTGGCCAGGGCAAAAATTCACTTAACATTATGGAAGCTTTAATGCCAATTGGCAATAACCCAATATAAATATTTAATGATATTAAATTGAGTCATTACATGATATTATCTGCAACGCTTTAATTTATATTTGCACATCTACATTTTTGCACAAATATATATTTTTCTGATGAATCTAGTATTAATATATTGATTTCATAACACAGTGTGAATGCTGCAAAAAGAAAAACGTTACTTACCTTGTCCCAGTTACTCGTTTGTAGTTGTCTTTGGAATGGACTGCTAGAATACTGACTCCTGAGCCAATGTTCACTACCAGCAGTGGATAGGGGTCGTCCAGGTTAAAAGGCATCTTTTGGCATCTCTCAGGTTCTGAGGCATTAGCAAAATAATAGCACTCTGCTTGTCCATTGAAACTGACAGAATCTATATACAGCAAGCCCTTTACAAGACAGTCAAGTTCATCCAGTTTGTGCAGGTGGAGGTTTCCAATCTGCAAAAAAAATACCAACAAATTTTATAAAGTGAACAAAAACCAGCATTCAAAATACTGACTCAATTATACTGTACTAGAGGCCCGGTGCACCAAATTCATGCACGGGGGGTGGGGGTTCTCCCTCAGCCCAGCCTGCACCCTCTCCAATCCGGGATCCCTCTCACAAACCGGAACGGCTGGCTCCTAACTGCTCACCTGCCTGCCTGCATGATCGCCCCTAACTGCCCCCCTCCCCCGCTGGCCTGGTTGCCCCATACAGCCTGCTGTTCAGTAGTTTGGTCGTCCCTAACTAACACCCCTGCTGGCCTGGTCGCTCCACACAGCCTGCTGTTCAGTCGTTTGGTTGTCTCTCACTAACCCCCCTGCTGGTCTTGTCACCCCACGCAGTCTGTCGTTCAGTCGTTTGATGGTCCCTCACTAACCCCCCCACCAGCCTTGTTGTCCCATGCAGCCTGCTGTTCGGTTGTTACTGTGAGGGCGTCCTGACCAATTTGCATGTTACCCTTTTATTAGTATAGATAATTTTCATGTACTTTACAAAACTTCAAAATCCTCTACGACCCCCACATTTTTACTTTTTTCTTTTGTGTCAAATTCTCTTTGGGACTTTATCTAGTCCAGTGGCCTCAGTGACGGTGGTTTTATCTCTGGAGGCATTTTGGAAATCTGTGGGGACATCTTAGTTGTCATGAAGATGGGATAAAAGGACCAAACTAACATTCAGTGACAGGGACTTGGGATGCCTGACATCTTTCCTGGCTTTTGGAACATATGCCCAAACAAACCGGTCTCAAAGTGATAAAATGTATGTTTAAATTACTCAATAAATTGAAATCAGGATTATCAATTAAAGAAAAATAATAATGGCCGAGACCGGTTTGGCTCAGTGGATAGAGCGTCGGCCTTCGGACTGAAGGGTCCCAGGTTCGATTCCGGTCAAGGGCATGTACCTGGGTTGCGGGCACATCCCCAGTAGGAGGTGTGCAGGAGGCAGCTGATCGATGTTTCTCTCTCATCGATGTTTCTAACTCTCTATCTCTCTCCCTTCCTCTCTGTAAAAAATCAATAAAATATATTTAAAAAAAAAAAAGAAAAATAATAATGAACATTTAGACTCTTAAACAATCCTAAATTACAAGGAGGGTAGTTTATGTGAGCCATATATAAATGATCACTTTTGTTCTATTAACACTTATATGAATTGAGAAATTAAATGGCATACTTGCATATTTTCAAGGAAAAATTTTAGTAGTCCCAAATACCAACTTTTAAATATTGATTCTAATGAAAAGGACTAGAAGCCTGGCAAACCTCTACTAGCATATAACCCAAATCAACACTTACATAGTCCTCTTGCCATATCCAAATAATTGCCAAATTGCCTTTGAGACAGTAACATAAAACCAGGAAAAAAGGGGTAACGGACTTTCAATCAAGTGTCTACTAATCAGAAGACACTGGCTTCAGTTGGGGTTTGGGAAGGAGGTGGCTCTGGGGAAGATGACTATATGGCTAATACTCAAAAACTGCAAACACAATACAATAATGGTGAGAATTCAAGCCACATTTCTATCTGGCTTTGTATACTGCCAAATTCATTAAAGTTCTTTTTATTGTTGCAGTCCCTAAAAAGAGCAGGTTTTTAGCAAATATCATATACAGCAATGACCCCAACTCTGGCACTTCTTACTTAACTTATAAAGGTGTTTAAATGCCCCAAATCAAAAGCTAGTCATGAATCAGCAGGAGGAACTAAGCTAAGAAACACTCTGGATGGAAACCTAGCCTAGTATTTAAAAACTGAAGAGATTGGGTATCAACTTCTGGCTTTGAGTAACAGACACCTACTGTGCGAAAATCTTTTTCAAACTTGTAAGCACCACCTCCTGTAGCACATAGCACCGTGTGTAATGTGGAGAAGTTTTTATCTCTTCCCATTTGGATAAAAGTAGGCAGGTCCTGGGTTGGAAATCTGATAAAGTGCAGGTTCCCTCTTCGGCCAAAAAGTGTTAAATCCTTCAGTTCAAGGTGTACATCCCGAATACCTGTGGATCCGTATGCTACATTAGAAGTCAAATATTTCCGGATACTTTTCAAGCTCTCAACTTCTTCTTGTTCTTCCTCTGCTGTGATATCAATCGGTTCAAAATATGAGAGTTTTACTAGAGTTCCCCCAATGTCCATGCCAAACCATGGGAAAGCTGTGGATAAAAACAGGAAAAATATATAAGTATATTTTGGAAAATGCAAATTAGAAATGAGTTAATTAGCCACAAACTTCATTTACCCTCAATCATTAGTCCATAATATTTATGGGTTAAAACATATCTTCTATGTATGGGGTAAAACATAACACCTCTTCGCCCTTCAAAATGTTTTTACATCTTTTCTAAAAACCCGTACAGAGAAGGCCCAGGGCCTTTTAATTCCTATCAAGGCATTCCTTTTTCTTTATGAAATACTTATAAACATATTTTTTTAAAAAAGTAAAATAAGCCCTGCCAGCATGGCTTACAGCGTTGACCTATGAACCAGGAGGTCATGGTTTGATTCCTGGTCAGGGCAGGTGCCCAGGTTGCGGGCTCGATCCCCAGTGTGGGGCAAGCAGGAGGTGGCCAATCAATGATTCTCTCTCATCACTGATGTTTCTCTCTCTCTCTCTCTTTCTCTCTCTCCCTCCCTCCCTCCCCCCCCCCCCGTTTCTCTCTGAAATCAATAAAAACATATTTTTAAAAAAGTTATGCATCAATCTTCTCCCCCTCATTCAAATAAATCAGTAGGAGCAAGCAGCAATACTGACGGTCACAGAGGGGACATTCACAGCCAAGTGTTTGCTTGGATAAACAGAGTTAAAGAAAATAATATGGAATAGGCCCAATTGATCCAATAAAGCAGAGATTCCTTCAGAATTTTCCAAATCTGTTGAGCAGATATTAGGGTACTTTTCAATGGGCATTAGATAAAATAAGGATCCTTCTCATGTTACATAACCAAAATGAATTCTCCCATTTGATTAATGCTTGATTACAGACTTCATGGGAGAGGGGGTAGAAATCATTACTGCCACATAAAGTAAAATTTGGGATAGAAAAATCCCTACAGGGTGATATTAAGCTAACAATCTTTTATTTTCTAAAAGTCAAAACAAATTAAAATCACTTAACACTCACAGTTGTTCCTTCTGGGCCTTTGTCAGTGTCAAACACACAGGCATCAAAACATACATACAAATAAAAATGTTACTCAGAGAGCAAACTACAAAGCTGAGGCAGCATAACCAGGTTCAAAGTTCATGCCATTTTCATTTCCAGTCAGAAGCCTAACTGCTCCTAGGTCATAAATACCTGAATGCTGTCATTCTGAAAAGCAAAAGTCCAGTAACACGTAAAGGACTTTTAATTCTTACAATAAACCATGAATAAAGTTCTAAAGCAGTGGTTCTCAACCTTCCTAATGCCACGACCCTTTAATACAGTTCCTCACGTTGTGGTGACCCCCAACCATAAAATTATTTTCGTTGCTACTTCTTAACTGTAATTTTGCTACTATTATGAATCGTAATGTAAATATCTGATATGCAGGATGTATTTAGGCGACTCGTGTGAAAGGGTCGTTCGATCCCCAAAGGGGTCGCGACCCACAGGTTGAGAACCGCTGGTCTAGAGACACAGGAGGTTCTATGAAGTAACTAAATTAAATTGGAAAAATAATGCAATTTCCTTAAGGGTTATTGCCCACAGAGGTAGCTTTTATATCAACAGTGCAAAAAACCCATGATTCCTCTCACATCTAGCCTATTAGCTATGTCTGTTCTTTTAGTGCTGTCTGCTCTAAAAAGGAGGTTAACTAGAGATTCTATATTGCAGATGATATATTTCTTAGTAAACTAGAACATTACATGTCCTTTCTATGATTGCAAATCTTGTGTGAATTTTGGGACACCCTATATTTCTAGTAGATCTCAATTACGCCAATTTTCTTACTATTAGGAAGGTAGGGACTGAAACTCAGCCATTGCCCCCCCCCCCAAAAATAAATAAATCACTATTTGCATAGGAATAGGGAGGGAGCCTTCCAACTCAGAGTTCTGGAATTCATTTCCTTATACCAGAGAAACAATCACTATTAAAAAGTATGGGGGCCCTGGCCGGTGTGGCTTAGTTGGTTGAACAATGCCTGTGCACTTAATAAAGATCCCTGGTTCCTCCCAGGTCGGGGTGTGTATCGGAGGCAACCGATGGATGCTTCTCTCACATTGACGTTTCTCTCTCTCTCCCTCTCCCTTCCTCTAAAATCAATAAAAAAATATTTTAAAAAATTAAGTTTCTCTTTAAAAAAACAAACAACAACTATGGGGGAGGCAACAGAACACAGAAGTCACAAATTCTTAATTATGATCACGCCTATCATTTAGCAATTGGTCTAACGACCAACTATTACATTTTCCAGTGCATTAAAAAAATTATCATTTTGTCACTGACCAAAATAAGTGGGGGTAGGGGTGGGGGCATGGAACTCAAACATTATTTATCTGCTATGAAAATGTTAGTTTCCTAAGAAATCAGACAAGTAACTAGCTTTTTTGCTTCTAGCCAAGGGACAGGCTAAAAGCAGGTCATCAGTGCACAAGGAGCCTAATTACTGCATATAACCTGAACATTTCTTACCTTTTGAGAATAAAACTCTCCACTGCCAAGGTGAAAAAATGAACCAAAGGACACATTTAAAAAATAAAACATGCATTCCATAAGTATACTTTATTGATGGCAAATATACATTACCTTCTCTAGACTGAGAATTTCCTACAATCTCTTGTGATCTGTGTATTTGGTTTAAAAAAAAAAACCACACAAAACAATAGCTACCATTCTATTTCTGACAGGAGCCTAAGAGCTGCCAATAGTTCCCCATAAATTACAAAATATCCGGAACTACCATAAGCATAGAATACTACCAAGAATTCTGTTTCTTATCAGATAGATTATGTAAACAGCATTAGATATCTAGCGAGACTGTTAACTTCAAAAAAAGCTGCCGTTATAAAAGTTTGGCATCTTGCTAAGTACTGGTAAAGGGGTGGGAGAGGATCATTAACCCCTAGAGTGCCAGGGAGCGCAATCGTGCTCCTCCTGTCTTTTGCCAAAAGTGCCGGGAGCGCTATTGCGTTCCTCCAGCAGTATCACTATTAGATGCTAGTAATTCACTCCTTATGTGGGAAAAAAATTTAAAAACCTTAACTCAAAATGCCTTGGCAATTTTAGCATAGTTCCTAGGATATTGGTTGGCACTCAAAGGGTTAAAGACATATTTAACTGCTATTGGCCCAATGCAAATTTCAGCCCAAAGAGATCCTATGCCAAATTAGATTTGCATTTCCCTTATAGCTAGTTACACTGAGCATCTTTTCAGATACCTGTTGGTCATCTGTATGTCTTCTTGGGAAAAGTGTCTGTTCAGGTCCTCTGCCCATTTTTAGATGGGATTTTTTTGGTTCTTGTTGAGTTATATGAGTTCTTTATATATTTTGGATATTAGCCAGTTATTGGAGGTATCATCTGTAATATGTTCTCTATTAGGTTGGATGCCTTTTTGTTTTGTTGATGGTTTCCTTTGCTGCGCAGAAGCTTTTTAGTTTGATGTAGTCCCATTTCTTTATTTTTGCTTTTATTTCCCTTGCCTTTGAGGTCAAGGTTCATAAATTTAGTATGTTTTCTGAAAGTGATAATTCTTAAGTAGTGATTCAACTTACAAGGCCAATCAAATTATACAGACACAAACTACAAATAAATGCTATTATCATTCTCTCTGGCTTTGACAAAAATTTCAGGTACCTTACTGCTTGGGTTAGCAAAGCACAGACTCCAAAACCTATATCACATCAAATTAAAAAAATATATATATGTACAATGGGAAAAATATCCTCAGGTGGGGATTAGCCAAATATATATATAAATAATACTATCACTTTGTTAATCACGTTTACATGCCACACAAGAAAAAAAAGCTGAAAAAGCCTTTACCTTAATAAATCATGTCAGTCTAGGTGCAGAGGAACACATGACTGTTCAGTTTTTTGGTATCTTTAATATCTAATATTTAAGCGGTGTGAAAAACCGCTTATAGCAAAGGAAACAAATATTGCCATTATTTTGGTTCTCCTATTTTAACTAGCAAAAAACTTTCATTAGGTTAATGTTTGACTTCATCCTTCTCCTGGAATGTAATTCACACATAATTGCAAATGATAATCTTTTTGTTATATAATCTTCTAGAGCAGTGGGTTGGCAAACTGCGGCTCGCGAGCCACATGCAGCTCTTTGGCCCCTTGAGTGTGGCTCTTCCACAAAATACCAGGTGTGGCCGCGCACGTACAGTGCGATTGAAACTTCATGGCCCATGCGCAGAAGTCGGTATTTTGTGGAAGAGCCATACTCAAGGGGGCAAAGAACCGCATGTGGCTTTCGAGCCGCAGTTTGCCGACCACTGTTCTAGAGGATGAAACCAATTCCTTTTCCTATTTTCTAGTTAAATACATGCATTTGTAAATAACCTGGTCATATATTAGAGATGTATCTAAAAGCAACTGTTTTCTAAACCTTAGGTGGATAATGTAAGAAAGTGTGTGAAGCCAAAGTTACTTATTTAACCAGTCTGAGATATAGCTTCTAGTTAGTGGTGTGCTGTAGGGGCTACATGATCAATGCATATAGTGCCTTACACATACTAGGTGCTCACTAAATTTATAATTTAACACATTAAGCTCCATGTCAGTCACCAGTGACTGAAACGGAAAGGAAGACAAAACAGGCTTGGTGCTTAACGTGTTAAAAACCCTATACAAGTGCCGAAACCGGTTTGGCTCAGTGGATAGAGCGTCGGCCTGCGGACTGAAGGGTCCCAGGTTCGATTCCGGTCAAGGGCATGTACCTTGGTTGCGGGCACATCCCCAGTAGGGAGTGTGCAGGAGGCAGCTGATCGATGTCTCTCTCTCATCGATGTTTCTAACTCTCTATCTCTCTCCCTTCCTCTCTGTAAAAAATCAATAAAATATATTTTAAAAAAAAAGAGAAAAAAAACAAAACCCTATACAAGTACTCAAAAACAAAACAAATACATATCTAATATCTAATCCGAGTGATTAAAAAAATTAGAAGTAACACTTCCCAGGTATATATATTTCTTTTTTTTTTTTTAATTTTATTAATTTTAGAGAGGCAGGGAGAGGAGGCAGGGAGATAGAGAGAGATAGAAACAGACATCAATGATGAGAGAGAATCATTCATCGGCTCCTCCTGCACACCCTCTACTAAGGACCGAGCCCACAACCTGGGCTTGTGCCCTTGACCGGAATCAAACCTGGGACCCATCAGGCCGCAGGCTGACGCTCTATCCAATGAGTCAAACCAAACTGGCTAGGGCCCCACTCAATTCTTTATGGTAAAATAAAGAACATCTTGGGTTTTTCTGTGTGTGAGAAAGAAAATATGAACTGCCCTGGAAATATATATCCCTGAAGCCCTAACTGGTTTGCAGACTCCTCCCTGGCCCAGGCTCTGGTCGGGATTCGAGCTGGAGGCAACCAATCAATGTGTTTCTTTCACATCGACATTTCTCTGTCTTTTCCTCTCTCTCTAAAAAAAAAAAAAAGGAAAAATATCCTCGGGTGAGAATTAAAAAAAAAAAAAAAAAAGAATTAGGTCACCATTTATTTATTTATTTTAAAGCCACCTTTTATATTAAGAAACTGAAAATGTTACTTTAGACTTCTAAATCAAATTAACTGGCTAGTTTTTCAGCATGACCCTATTTTAACATTAATGGTCCCACAATTTGTAATAGCCAACTTACCTTTAATCAATAGGTGTTTTTATTTCTCAACCTAAAGCTTATTTTATAAACTTTTAATTATCACCTTTGCTGAAAACACCTTTGACTGAAGTGGTATTCATACTTGAGTGTAAGTTTTCCCAAATCTAAGTAACCAAATCACCATCATGGCAAGAAGAAAATAATACCTTAACCCTACCAGACCGCTGTACCGATTTTTCGGTAATTTCCACACAAAGGTGGAATATTGGAGCTAGATGAAAGGTAGACCTATTTTCTACAATGTCTCCAAGTTCCATCTTATTCTAACCACTTGTTTGCATGTAACTAACATTTTTCTATATCATGTTGGTTTTTTCTCTTTAATGCTCAGGAGCCCAGGTATAGGGGACAGTTAGGTTCAGGGCCTCAGGTCTGGTAGGATTAAGAGTTAGAATCTGAGCCTGTCAGAGGTAAACTCATTCCACTAAATGGAAATTCTAAGACAAGAACAGAAAAGGTATGTGTTGAGGGAAGATGTCCAAGGGTTTTACATACTGCATGTATTCAAGATTAGTTGCATTCAGCAAATGTAAATTAGAAGAGTTTCTATATTACTTTTGTCATTTAAGTCTTCATATCACTGTTTTAAAGAACTCTTCAGCACAAGAAATCATCATTAGCGTTTTTAAAAAATTAGCAAATGTCACTCCCAGGTTTGTGTTTCTAAGTATTTAGACTATGCCCTATGGGCGCAGAAGAAAGAATACGAGGCTATGAGTCAGCGGACCTAGACCTAAGGCCCTGACCCTCCTTGGTTGGCGCTGCAATTGCAAGAGTTACTCTGGGGCTCAATAAGTTCAATTTCCTCATCTGTAAAATTAAGATCAAATTATTTTACATTTAAATAACAATCAGCAGTTTTCAGGGTGCTCTGTTATGTTGCCTCTCCTTTGAGGTTCACAAGAAACCTGATGACAGCCCTAGTTGGTTTGGCTCAGTGGACAGAGCGTTAGCAGGAAGACTGAAGGGTCCCAGGTTCGATTCCCGTCAAGGGCGCGTACCTTCGATGCAGGCTCTATCCCAGCCTGGGTCAGTGCCTGTGCAAGAGCCAACAAATCCCCATCTCTCTCACATTGATGATTCTCTCTTTCCCACACCCTTCCACTTTCTCTAAAAATCAATGGGGGAAAAAAATATCCTCAGGTGAGGATTAACAAAACAAAAACAAAAACCTGATGGGCGGGAAAAGCTCAGTGCTCCCTTTTATCAGTTTTCTGAGATCTGCTGGTTCACTTGAGACACTCCCAAACCTGGAGAATATAAACACAATCCCACAGTTCTCCACATTCCGAGTGGCTCTGGAAGAATGCCCTTAAAGAATGACAATCCCAATAGCGGAGTGATTAAATAAGCCATTTACGGAAGAAGCCAGAGGTTTTTAAAAGGCTAAAATTAAAAGAAAGCAAATAAAAGTTCATCTGCTCGTCCAAAGAATGTTTTGCACATACAGTTGTAAAAGTGAGTATTTACCAAAATACTTCAGAGTGGTTAAGAGCAGTTAACCAGTAACAGTGGTTGGCTTGGAAGGGCCGACATACCCGCGATTTGTATTATCTTTTTGTTTTTTTAAACAAACATAAACTAGTTTTTATGCTCAACAAGAGTAAGTCACCGGCGGGTTACAGGCACAGGCCTTTAAAAGCTCTAATTATAACAACGGTGACAACTCCCTGGAGCCCACCGGGATTTCAAGGACACAAGCAGAAAAAGCCCAGAAACCAGCAACTGCTCCGGCGCAATTTGACAGCCATGACCACCCATTCTCAACACGATGGCAGAGCAAGCTGGGAGCGGGCACCGGAGGCTCCGGTTAAACACTCCCTCTTGCACCGCCCAGGCCTCGAGGAGGAAGTGGGAGAAAAGGGCCAGGGGGGAGGCAGGCGTTTGCATGCAAGTATCGGGGGGTGAGGCGGGGGACCTCCAACCCTGAGCCCCAATGGTCCCTCTGCCCCAACCCGTGCAGGGCACCGGCCGTGGGCGACAGGCTGGGAACCGGGCCGCTCTGCCAAGGGGCTTCCAGACCGGGCCCAAGGCGCTCTCCCAACCCAGGGAGCCCAAGCCCCGCTTACAGGGTTTCTTGGCATCCTTGATCTTCATGGCGACGGCCTGAGGGGCGAGGGGCAGCCTGGGGTTCGGTGCACGGAGTGTGGTGGTGGTGGTGGCAGCGACTCCGGAGGTGGCTAGGCCCTGCGAGGAGGCCCAGCCAGTTCTTCCCCTTTAGCTGGCCGGGCGGGGCCGGCGGGCGGGCCGAGGGCGGGACGGAGGCGTTTGAGGCGAGGCCGGCCCAGGGGGTGGCCCCCCAACCCCTGAGAGGGGCGGCCAGGACCGAGCGAGCTGGAGAAGGCCGCCGGTCTCGCCGCTCCGGGGGCCCACCCCCTGCAGCTGCTCCAAACAAAAGGCCCCGGTCCCCCAGCTGCCACCGCTGCACTGAGAAATAGCCCGCCCAGGCTGAGCGCCCACGTGACGCGAGCCCCCCTTCCCCCAGCTGGCGGCCCGGCTGCTGGGGATTGTAGTTCTCTGGGTCGCGAGGCCCTGCTCTTTGGCTGCAGAGGTGTAGATGGACTACAAAGCCCAGGATGCATTGCGGCCGCCCCTTCGAGGCCCCTCCCATTCGGGAGATCGCCTTAGAGTGGTCCCAGAGAGAAGGGGGCGGGGCCTTAATCACGCCAGTGACGAGGCGACCAATGGTGACTGGTGTGGGCGGGCTGCGGAAGTCCCGGTCTTGGGCCTCTGCCCGCCGTGGAAAGAGCAGAAGGGGAAGGAAACTCTGCAGGTACTGTCATGGCTGTTCTAGAAGTTGCGAGTTTCCCTGGAGGCAGAAAAGCTGGTCCTTGTGCCATGGAAGGCACAGAATCCAGGGCTCTGGAGCCACTCTTAAGACAGACCGTGAAACACATTTACAAAGGAACCCCCGCGGCTTAATAGAGACACCTCAAATACTGGCGTTGGAGTAATGATGTTGTTAATAAAAACGGCAATAGTAGTAATAGGTGACATTTGTTGGATGCCTGCCATGTCCAAGGCACTCTGCTAAGCGCTTTTGGTTTACTTTAACAACTTTGTGTACTATGGACAGTTATTCTTCGTGATGGTGTCTATCACGCATTTTGAAGATGGGCAGGATGTGAGAAGTTAAATCACGTGGGGAGCGCATGCTCTTGGTCACCATTCCAGGGTCCCCTCAGGGGCCCTGCAGCCCAGCTCCTTGCTTCCAAAGGGGAAATCGATTCCCAGAGAAGAAAATTAGATGCTCGAGTTCTCATAGGAGAGTCAGGGCACCCCTTTCCCTCTGCCTCCTAGACTCTGAGTCCTCCAGCTGGAAGGGGAAGGAACAGCATTGGGATCTCCTGGCTTTCCCTCCACATCTGACCCCAGTTGGCTGACCAGGAATTCCACAACCAGTGGTTTGAGACTTGGCAGTGGAGGACTGAGCCTTCGTGCCCCTTCCTTGAACAGGATAAGCCAAGGGTTATGAATAAGGCCGGGAGGGGACACACATTACCACATAGGCGCACGTTCTCAGCGCTGGCACGTGGCAAGGTACTTTCCTTCTTAAACTTTACATTTAATCCTCGCCACCACCCTTTGAAATATAATTATTAAGAACTCAAACTTGAGTTCACATTTTGGTCCTACAACTTGGTAATAAATTTAGGCAAATGATTTCATCTTTCTGGCTGTCATTGAAAATAATGGTGCTGTTAACGTAAAAAACCATTGGAACCTGTGAATAATTTTTGTGAGTTTATTTGAGCCAAACTGTCGACATATGCCGGGAAGCAGAACCTCAACGAATTGAGATAATGCTCTGGAGAATGGTGGGTTACATCTGTATTTATACATGGCAATCAAAGGAGGTGATGTAGGTAGGTTATATGAAATCCATTGGTGATAGACTAGAGAGTCAGGAGAAAGCAAAGCAGGGAAACCCCTGGGATTGGGTAAAAAGTAAAATGATGGACACATACTTAGGTGGGTGCAGGAACAATTAACATGATAATGAAGGAATTTGTGGTATCTGTCCTGGTGCCCAGCATATTAGGTTGTGCCCCAAGGGGTCCAGAAAAAGGGACATTTCAAAGGGTATGTTATTATAGAGGCAAAAAGACAGTTAGGCTCAGTTAAGGTAAAAGTTGACCTTGTCAGTGAAGATACCAGCCTTAGAATGTAACTACCCACCATAACTGCTTTTAGTTAAAGTTTAATTTCAGACCATCCTTTGTGGTTACTTTAGGTCTCTGAGTTTGTCTCTGAGTTTGCAAGACCTCTATGCAGGCCTTCCCTGAGCTGGTCAGGTTAGCATGTGGCCCCTTTTGTCCACAGTGCCAATCACATTTCATGCCACTGAGATGGGGGTTAGATGAAAAAAGGCATACAAAGTGCTTAATGCATTGCCTGGCATATTGTCACCATGGTATGGATAAGTAAGTGCCATCTAGGTTTATTATTGCATTGTTGTTGTTAACCTTAAGACAAGAAAGAAAGCTTAAGTATCCTGCTCAGGTAAGGATTTAGGATGAGACCCTAGGTCTGATTGGTGCTTTGTGCTTCCTTACCTTTTGTTGTTTGATCCCAGGTTCCACATGTGTTGTTTGGAAATATGTGGGTTTTTTTTTTTTTAATTTAGATTTTTTTAATAGAAACATCATTCAGACCTCCCAGATAATGTGACCTGATAACGTAGAGCTCTGAGTGGTAGACTTAACCTTGTTTACCTTCTTGTCACTTCTTCCCACACAGAATCCTACATGTTCTCAAATGATCTTGTTTTCCCACAATTTTATTGGGTGAGAGTCATGATTTCTGATTTGACATGGCTTCAAAGAGTGTTCACTATTCTATATGATCCACCCACTGATTCTATAAGACTTGTGTGCACACCCTGTTCTCTATCAACATGTATCTTTTGGTTGTTTTCCTGCTTCTTTAAAAAAATTTATATATATATATTTGTATAATAAAAGCCTAAGCATCCCTTACGGTGGAATGGCTAGAATGACCAGTCGCTATGATGCGCACTGACGACCAGGGGGAGGACGCTTAATGTAGGAGCTTCCCCCTGGTGGTCAGTGCGCTCCCATGGGGAGCGCCGCTCAGCCAGAAGCCGGGCTCACGGCTGGTGAGCGCAGCGGTGGTGGTGGGAGCCTCTCCCACCTTCCTGGCAGCACTAAGGAGCAGCAAGCCGAGTGGTAAGGAGTGAGCAGGCTGGCAGTAAGGAGCGAGGGATCATGTATTGCGAGAGGGGATGTCCGACTGCTGGCTTAAGCCTGATTGGGCCTAAGCTGGCAGTTGGACATCCCGCGAGGGGTTCCGGACTGTGAGAGGGCACAGGCCGGGCTGAGGCCTCCCCTACCAGTGCACGAATTTCATGCACCAGGCCTCTAGTATGTATATATAGATTGATTAATTTCAGAGAGGAAGGGAGAGGGAGAGAGAGGTAGAAACATCAATGATAAGAATCAGTGATTGGTTACCTCCTGCATGCTCCCCACTTGGGACCAAGCCCGCAACCCAGGCATGTGCCCCTGACCAGGAACTGAACTGTGACCTCCTAGTTCAGTGGTCAGCAAACTCGTTAGTCAACAGAGCCAAATATCAACAGTACAACGACTGAAATTTCTTTTGAGAGCCAAATTTTTTAAACTTAAACTCTATAGGTAGGTACATTGTTATTAACTTAATTAGGGTACTCCTAAGCTGGCCATTGCTAAAAATGTCCTCAATCTGATTGATGTACGTTCGCTGAGGTCGACCCCTTCCAACTCTCCCAACCACACTAGTCTTGTATACTTGTTTCGTCTATCTCCTTTCCGAAAACCGACTCCTGCGCATGGGCCACGAAGTTTCAATCGCACTGTACGTGCGCACCAATGCACGTGGTATTTTGTGGAAGAGCCACACTCAAGGGGCCAAAGAGCCGCATGTGGCTCGGGAGCCGTGGTTTGCCGACCACTGTCCTAGTTTATAGGTTGACGATCAACCACTGAGCCATGCCAGCTGGGCAATTCCTGCCTCTTTTTGATAGCATTAGGTATCAAATTGGAAGTGATACTGTACCTTATGATAGGCTGGCTATGGTCCAAGGGGAAGGAGAGATAGAAATAAGAAGCCATCAGCATTTGGGTGAGTTTTGGAAATACAGTCTTGTTAGTTTCTGTGGCCACAAAGATAAGCGCACACATGAATGACTTAGCCAAACGTAGCTTAAAAGTTAGGTTTACACCTGTGATGTTATATGCCAGAAAAACAGTGAATTTCACATAGTGAGAATTCTAATCTTAGATCAGCCATGGAATTTCTGTGTGACCTTGGGAAAGTTCCTTTCTCCTCTCTGGGCTTCAAATTACCTATCTGTACAATGAAATGATTGCCTCAGATTTCTTCCATCTCTGCTTTTTGAGGTTCTCTTTTTCAGGAGCAATATGAGATGTGGCCAATTATGTTTTCCTTTAAGTTTTCCCCAGTGTTTTTAAAACGGACAGTTCACCCTGCTTTAGTTTCTGGCCAGAATCTTTCTTCCACAGCCCCTGTCGGCTGTCAGCCCCAGTCCCTCCTTCCAGCACTGTCTGGTTGACTACATTTTCTCTCTTCTCTAGTATGTTCTCAAACCCTTCCTGGCAGAGTGAGTGTGGGAGCTGGAAGAGCATCTTGTCTCAATATTTATTGTCTACCAGACACGGTAAATCCATCCCATCTTGCAAAGTGATAGAGCGCCCTGACCTGCACGGCTAGGGTTCAGCATCTGAAGGAGGGGCCAACGCACAAATGAAAATACTATGCAAGAAATTATGAATTTCTCTCTCTTGGAGAGGCACACTGAAACATGGCCTTCTCCACTTTTGTGCCCTGACTGGGAATTGAACCGGCAACCTCCTGGTTCATAGGTCGATGCTCAACCACTGAGCCATGCCAGCCGGGCCTTCTCCGCTTTTTATTCAGTTTTAGATACACATCTTGCCCTCAGTAAAGCACGGCAAACAGGTAGCAGACAGACAGTCTCTAACATCAACAAAGATCAGTAAGGTTCAAAAAAAAAAAAGATCAGTAAGGTTCAGTAAACATTTACTTTGAGGCTATTAGGTTAGGAAAATCCTTCGAGCCACCACTGCTATCTCAACAGAACAATGGTGCTTGGTGTTAGCCCTGCTAACGCTCAAGGTCCATTGGCCTTCCGCGTTCCTTGGTGCGCTCTCAAATAGTATTGACAGTGGGTGGCTTCCTGCAATAGAGGATTCCTGACACAATCTCATTTTGCTTTTACTGAGGAGGTATCCATGGAGAAAGGTGGTGCATTGGACCTAATGATGACTATGAGGTCTCCTGGCATGAATTAAACACACACACACACACACACACACACACACACACACACACACAGCTTCAAAGCTCAGACAAAGCTTGTAAAAATGGATT